AAAAAAAAAAGAGAGACATAAATTCTCTTTCGGCATTGTCGAAGAATATGATTAATAATTAATTCATTATATTTTAACGAACGTGAACGAGGATAATCGATAAAGTATAGTTCTCGTAGTCGCTTTGCGATCAACTTCGATAGATCGTCTATGATTAACCAAAAGATCAATTAACCTTTTCTAAATTAATTTAAAAAGCTAATATATAAATAATTTTTATGAAAAAAACACAAATCCAAGTTTAAAAAAAAGCATTTGAAAAGCTTTCTTCGTTAATGCTTTTCTTTTTTTTTTTTTGCAATAAAATGTATAAATTAATTTTCCTCCTGAATCGTTTAGGAAATATTAAAACAATGTAAATTGCATAATTTTTTACGGTAAAAGTTTAAGTCAGTGAATTTTAGTTGAACATAGACGATTCGTTAATGTGCACTTTGGTATACGAATATATATTTATATATATATATATATATATATAATATAATTAATTACACGCACATACTTACATACATACATACATACATACATGCATTCGTACACATACACCGCATACACACAGAGGACACGCGTAAACATACGATCAGCGTCATTATGCACATTCAATTTGCATCCATTGGTTTTTACAAGAGATCCTAATACGTAAATGTGTAATAGTACAAGCAAGACCAAAAATTAATAACGCCAGAGAAAAAAAATATGGAAAAACGAATCAGATCCGTCTAACGTTAAATCTTATTTCGTTTTCCTTTATAATCTGGTTTTTCTTTTTTTTTTTTTATTTATCTTTTCTTTTTTCGAAAATGATTTTTATAATTTGTATTTAATACAAAAATTGATCTATCTCGCGTTTGTGTGTTAATCATGTTGCTTTCTGTTTCTTTCGGTTCTTTTTATTGTTGTTGTTGTAGTTATTGTTTGTTTTCATTTTTATATTTCTCGTATCATTTTCTCCATCCTCTCTCGAACGTAGAAATATTGTCATTAGTATAATATAGGTACGATACGGGTCAGGTACAATAGTAGCATATCTCAGGATCGATCTGTCTTATTTCTTTTTTCTTTTTCTTTCTTCCCCTTTTTCCTTTTTTCCTTTCCTTTCTTTTCTTTTCTTTTCTTTTTTCTCTTTTGTCGAAGAGAGGACGAAGATCTAACGTTCTCTTATTTATTTATTTAATTATTTTTCCACATACTCTTTTGTTTTTCATCATGTAATGTAATTAAATTAAATTAAATTAAATAAAATTAATCAATCAATATTATATAACATCGTATCGATCTTTATACACGTTGTGCAATTATTATTATTATTATTGTATAATTTTGTATTAATTAAACATTATAATTCTTCATTGCAACGAATGACGATGTGGTAAACGATTGTTTCATATATTTCATTTTGTTTCCGTTTTTTCTTTTTTTTTATATATATTCCGTGTTCGCTTTTCTTCTTATTAAATTATTTTTTTCTCCTTTTTTTTTTTTTTTTAACTCACGTCACAAAGTAATCGTAATATAATATAATATAATAGAATGTAATAGGAATAAAGATACTTTGACATAAGAAAGAACAAAAAATAATATAATAAGAAAAGAAAAACTAAACGTTGGGCGCGAATGACGAATGGAAATGAAAATTTCACATTTTAAACGCATACATATATATATATATATTCGAATGGAAATTTTCATTTTCGTCTCTCTTGTCAATTTGATTGAAATCGAAATACGTTTATCAATAACGTTTTTAAATGAAGCTTTTTTTTTTTTTTTTTAGTCATAGGACACTGACATATATATATATATATATATATATTTTTTTTTTTAATGACTATTGGTCCGCCTGTTCGTTGATCTCTTCATTATCATCATCGGATGGTGTTGACGTCCTATCGTGATTCGTGCAATTTTCTGTCGAACATTTGGATTCCGCGATTTCGATCCAATGCCGTTTGTTATTCCTCACACCTTCGACCAAAGGTTCCAATTTTTCCGAAAGTATTGCGAATGCCTAAAAAAAAATTATATATAATTAAACATTAAACATTAATTTAATATTGGGAAACCAGAAATGCAACTATAAAGGGGAAGTAGAAATGTTTGAAAATTCATATCTTCGATTTTACAATTTTTTGTTGAAACATTATTAATAAAAAATCTTACATTGACAGTAAAAATATTCTTCGATAGACGAAATATATTTTTGTTTGATATAAACGATAATACTTGGATATATTTAAATGTAAAATAAAATGTGTATGAAGAGCTGAACTCGTGAGATATTTAATAACACATTTTGAAGAAAATTAGGATAATTTAAAAAGAAAAAGAAAAATATTGTTGAACTATTAATTGATACCTCATAAATGGGAAGGCAAATCGAATCGATGAAGCCAACTTGCATGATCGGCAATTGGTCCTCTTTTTCCCTATTCATAATATCCTGCAATAATGCACAAAAAAATTATAATATTTAATGATATAGTTTCTTTCAACGATCTCGCGTATTGGATTGGCAACTAAGCAATTGCGGATTTTTTAATTGGTAACTAAGTGAGGGTGGTTACTTTAATATAAACCTACAGGTCCCCTCTCTTTCTCTCTCTTTCTTTTTATATATATAAAGAAATTATGAAAATAAATTTTAAATTAATAATATTATAATTTATTACTAAGTTTAATTCTTAGTAATAAATTATATTTCTACTACTAAGTTACATTCTTACTACTAAATAGTGTTCAAAAAGTTATGGTAGGATAACGGTTTTTAAAAATTGACTCTATATATAAGATAGTGAAAACTTATGACTGTAATAAAAATGATGTTATATTGACTTATGAACATAACTATCAAGTTGCTGAGGAAGTCCCTAATAGGGACGAAACGTTCAACGGATAAATAGATTGTTCATCTAATTTAAACCTGTCCAAAAAATAACGTCCCTAAGAATTAAACTTAGTAATAATATTAAAAAAAATTTTGGATAAGAAACAAATTTTTATTATATTAACATTATAATTTATATAATTGAATATATAATAAAGAAAAAAATCCGCAATCCACATTTAGTTAGCAACCCAATATAAAAATAAACGAAAAGATAAAAAAAAAAAACAATTCAAAGTTATAAATAATGAAATACTTACTATAGGGGTAATATTTAACGTTCGCCTTTCTATATCACCCTGTTCGAAAAATTCGCTGCTAACTAATTCGGCAACCCTTTTTTCAACTTCCCATGGTTTCGTAATGGCCGCCAAATCGCATACGGTCATCAGCATGCCGCGTAAAAGTTCACGATGATCACCGTATGCCCAATTATAACCGCCACCTCGTGCCAAACTGAAAAAGGCTCCCCTTTTTCGAAAATATACAGCAAGATCCGTCGATAGTATAGCTTCCTCAAGAACCTTTACCACTCGAGAATATTCTTCCGGTGATAGATTAGATAATATTTGATTACCCTGACTGCTTAGTATCATTAAACATTGATCAAAATGATGATGTTCCATCGTTGATGTTGAATAAAGTTGTGCCAAGGGTGAGGAAGCCCTTTTTAAAAATCATAAAAATATAATAAAATCAATGAAGAATTATTTTTAAATATATGAATATATTTTTTAAATCGTAAATTTGATACAATATATTAATTTTCATTAATTATATTATATATACTTACTTGATTTGAAATGAATTGTTAGTACCACGATGATCAAGATCGTGACAGAGACAAGCAATTATCAATGCCAGACATTCGATTTCACCGAAAACCTTCCACCATTGTGTAGCCTATGTATTAATAAAAAAACAAAAACAGAAATAAATAAAATTTCATTATATCAATATATATACATATATACATTTTAAAATAACAATACTGAGATAAAAGATTTAATTAATGTGTAACGTAATCGATTAAGATTAACTCACTGTTAATATTGCGAACATCATTTGTGCGACATTGAAGGCGTGTCGCCAATTGTGATAAGTTACGTTACGATAATTTTTTTTAACGCTTAGCAACCATCGACATAATACGTCGTAATCAATGTGAAAACGTTCGACAAAGTCAAGATCAAGAAACATTCTTAAACATGCTGTTAGAGTTTCGTCATCCTCCATGTAAATGTCATCGAATTTGAAATCGTGTAATTGAAAATGCGCCGAGGATGGTACTCTTAATCCCTGTGAACAACAAAAACAACAACAACAATAAAAATGTATTTCAAAAATAATCTAAATGCGAGACTGATAATATTTAAATACTTATATACGAGTTAAACCTTTTTTCTTGTTTACATGTAAAATCAATTTAACCAAACTTTTACATTTTTGTCTTTATCTATTCGAATTTTATCATCATCCATGAATTTTACATCGAAATTAATACAATAAATTTGCTTGATAATTCTCGATTTATTTTTTTTGCAAATCGATTTGACAAATAAATGACACGAATTGTTATAAATTAAGAGATAATATTAAACAAATGTATATATTATTCAACGTTATTATTATTCGTAGGAATAATAAATTATATAGGAATATCTTAAATATAGAAAAATAAATAAGAAAAATTTGTCTAACATTTTATACGATTTATTTGATAATTATTATTATATAAAATTGTTAGATCGTTCAGAAAAGTAATTTCGTTCTTTATTAAGAGAAATATCTTTTAATCGGTGAAATTACTTTACTTCGGCTAACCTAGTTGAGATTATAAGAACAACGTAATACCATTAGCCAAGATAAACATCATCATTTTAAACTCTCCTTTTCTTCTTAATCCCTATAATGGTCTATTTAAGTAAATACATATATACACATATACACATATATATATACGTATTTATAAGAAATTATAAAGAAGAGACTAACCCTCAGTCTTTGAGCATCCTCTAAAGAAGCCGATGCATGGTAACTCAATACTTCCAAGGTTACACTTTGTTTGGCCATCGCTACCACAGCTTTCTCGTACCTGTAAAAATAAAATTATAATTAACAACATATATATATACACACACATGTATACACGTACAAAAGAAAAAGAAAAATAAAATAAAAGATACATAATTAATAATTTCAATAAATTTGATTTCACATACTGACATGTGCGTATTGTGTATGCCCATGCCGCAGAAAATGGCGAACGCCTCGACAAAGTTCTCGTCATTTTTCGTAAATTGTAGATCATCGAATTTGTTGATCAATTGTATAACCCCAATTATTTGCCCGGATGAATTCTTTATGGGCATGCAGAGAATGGTACGATGTCGGAAACCCGTACCTTCGTCCACCGATGGATCAAATCTTGGATCTTCGTAAGCATTTGGTATACTGACCGTCTGAAATAATATATCATACAAACGATTTATTATAATAAACACATTTATTCGCGAATTATTCAAATTTATTTGAAATAGATTTAACAAAGACTTTATATATCGGATCTTGAAACATTGTTTCTTTTTTTTTTTTTTTTTTTTTTTTGGTAAACTTTACACATTTTATGGGATTCCCCTTTTTAGGTATATATACACTGTGCAAGCAGTAAGACCTAATATTTAAACGTTTCAAAGAAAACAAAAGGGAAAAAGTTGAACGTGCATTCTCTTATATTATATAACAAGTCGTTTCGCGTTAAATGGGAAAATACATTTTTTACAGTTTATTATTATTAATGATATTAGTTGGCGTACCAATATGCAAATACGAAATCCCACCGACAATGTTTTTCTCCAAGGTATTCTCTATTTCATTAAAAATTTATTCCAATATCTTTGTATTCTCACCTACGTTTTCGTCTAACCATTTCACGTTAAATGGAAAAAGAAAAAATACATTTCGTACAATTTTATTATTAATATTAGTTGACGTTAGAAACTTGAAAGTTCAAAATACCAATATGCAAAAATAACGAAATCCTACTAATGTATTTTTTTACTCTAGTATTTTATTTTCCGTTCTAATTTATTCTAATATCTTTGTATTCTCACCTACGTATTTGTCTACCCAGTTCACGTTACATGAAAAAAAAAAATACATTTTTTATAGTTTATTATTATTAATGATATTAGTCAGCATACAAATGCTAGTAACAAAAAAAAATTAGAAATCCTACTAATGTTTGTTTCTTTCCTAATATATTCTATTTCGTTCAAATTTATTCTAATATCGTTTGTATTATCACCTAAGTCTTTGTCTAGTCAATGGTTTTTCCAATAAAACCTGTCACTTACAAATTAGTATTTTAAACGCGATTAGATCCTTATCCATACTCGCCACGTGACCGGTTGCTCATCTTAATCGATGCGATTTTATGACGTTAATAATATATGAACTACTACTGTGTATATATATATATATATAATAATTGACGTCATTTAATTTAACGTTATGTAATTTTCTACATTAACCAACCAGTTTCCTCGTCACATTTTGCACCGATGATTTTTTTCTCAAGTACCTTTATCAACGCGAAAATACCGCAACATTGTTTTTTTTTTTCTTATCGTCTTATGTAACTCAAGTTTCATCACGATTCGTTGCCAAAAAAAAAAAAAAACACGTAATCGATAACATAATCGTTCTGTAGATATTAATTTTTTCCATACGCCCCATAATATCGAGTAATTTATTAATCGAATTAAAACAATTGATTATTTTCTCAAACTTTTTCGTTATTTAATTCATTGGTGTTTGATTTTTAGAATTTTATTTTTTTGGCAATTTAATATTCGAGGCAAAGAAATTATAAAAAAAAAAAAAAAAATTATACACCGCGGGGTGAGTTGAAAAGAAAGACCCTTCATCCAATCACACGAGAGGGATTGAAAAGTTTTGAGCTTTATGGTTTCCCACGCCGTGGCAAGCTTAAAAGTTTTCAACCCTTCTGGTTGGTACTTGGCTCGAAACTTTTCAGTTCTCCTTGTAGCCTGGGGTCAAAACTTTTCAAGCTTTCTCGCGGTAGGCTCAAAACTTTTATTATATATATATATACCTTTTCTATAATTTATTTTTTTTTTTTTTAGAATAGTACGTGAAACTTCTCCCTTCGTTTTGCACAATGTATTGTATTATAGTATTTTAATAAACCTGTATTAACTATGTGTAAAGTTGGAAACAAAAATCGTTGCTTTTTCAAGGATCCAACAAAGTTGTTGTAATTATTGTATATGCATAACTGATATCAAAAATTCATACTTATTTTCTATAACAAATAAGTAACATTAGTAATTGTAAATCAATCTTAAATGGATATTTAAATTCGATCGTATTTACGTATGTTCGTTCGAAATAATTATTCAGTTTGTAATATCTCGGTAAGGAAAATACGTTTATTGTATTAATTTCTTTGAATTAAAAAAAAAAAAAAAAARAAAACTCAAGGTGGATTATTGCTTTTTAGATTTTTTCTTTTTCTCTTTTTTTTTTTTCTTTTTTTCCTTTTCGTTAAAAAATTATTCGACTAATTCGTCGCGTTGTACTACGTACTACTCTTTTCTTTTTTTTTTTGTTTTTTTTTTTTTTTTTTTTAATTCGTACTCATAAGCTCTTTCTCTATTTTTCTATTTTTCTTACACGCTTTCTTTTTTTTTTTCCTTTTTTTTCTTTTTTTTATTATAATTATTCTCTTATTTAACACCAAACCTATCGACGATTTATTATACGTTTTTATTTCTTTTTTTTTTTTAATCCAATAAATAAAAAACAATTATATTGTAAGAACGAAATATGTAAGAAATGAAACGTCTGTCTAATTTAAAATATTTTCATTGAAAAATTTCATTAAAAATTGTTCGTCGTCATACGGTTCGGTGTTAATTTATGATATAGTATAAATAAATAAATAAATAAATAAATGAATGAATAATAAAAATAATATATTTAATATATAATTTTGCTTACCTCGTACGAGAATCAGAATCTTCGCCAGTAAGATCGTTAGCCTCGAAATCGAAGACGCGTGAAAAGCTTCCTTTCGATGCCTTATGAACCAATAATACCTATCGATAACGTAAAAGAACATTCCGAACAATTGTACTATGTTATAAAAAAAAAAAGAAAAGAAAAAAAGAAAAGAAGTGACAATGAATAAATTCGTACCTGTACTCGTTGGCATTGAATTAAAGATTGCGTGTGGGTTAAAATTCTGAGGACCATATGTTCTATCGTACTTTGTTCCTCGAAGATCATTCTAGCTAGATCCAACAGCACCTGTCGTAGACGTAACGATCCTTTATTAAATATACCTATAGATATGTATGTCTATCAATAGTATAAACTTAAATAATATATACTTTTGTTAATAACAAAAGTTATTCTTTTTTGTTATAACATACCTGATTCCTTTTAACTTCCAATTGACTCTTTTCGTATAATTGAGCGTTCCTCAAACCGATACCGCAAAATTGCAAATAACCGGCAAATATTTTTTCGTCTTGCGCGGTGAATTGTGCCTCTCCACCTAATTTGTTGATAACCTGGGCAACTCCGACAACGTCACCGTTGCAATCCTTGATCGGCATGCACAATAATGCTCTCGTTCTGTATCCCGTAAGTGCATCGATCTCTCGATTAAACCTCGAATCCTTAATAACAATGATTAGAAATCATTTAATATAATTATCGTACAATTTTGAACAAAACAACAACAACAACAACCAATGAGAAAAATAATCCAAAAGTAATTTAAACAACTTTATAAAGTCATTTTAATTAAGAGTAATCTTCGAAGGTAAAGGAATGTTAAATAGCAAACCTTATAAGCGTCTGGTATGTTGACGGGTTCTCCACTTTCAGCAACGTAACCAACTATCCCAGTACCCCATGGAATCTTGATTTCGTCTTTCTTTTCCATCTCGAGTAGGGTTGACCTCGAACAAACGTCGAAGAGTTTAGAAACGAGACACCTACTTCTCGAATAGGATTGACCGTAATTTTGGTTGCCGAATCGTCGTGAACTTCCATTGTTATCGTTATTGTTAATGCTAGTATCGTGATTTTGCAATAATGGTATGTGTCCGCCACCTCTTTCCCCTTGGACCAGGAACAATGAACCGCGATCTGCGTGAAGCAAAGTGCTCACGTTTTGAAGGATCTTGTGACACAATGATCTTACGTCCAGCTCGTTACAAATGTCCTTGACCTGTTTTAAAAACGCGATTTATTAATAATAATATACTTGTTAGTTTATTGAACAAACATGCAAACAAACAAAAATGGAAAATAAACGTACCAGTTCGAAAATGAGATCCTTCTCGTCGAGATGCCTAAGCTCGTGCCTAGATCGTCTTTGGGTTCGTGCAGAATTAGTTGAACCAACCGGTTGTCCACTCGATTGATCAGTATCACCTGAAGAAACACTGAGGAACGTGGGTGTACCGTCGATCGTATTGACGATTGGTTTCAAAAGACCACCCCGCTCAAATTCATGAGCAGAGATCTTCCTGACCGGGGTGGTAGCACCAGAGCCACCGCTTGAAGCACCTCGACCAGATGACGATGAACCACCACCGGCGTGTGTTGGACTAGACAGTTCTATGCAACTGCTCGATGAGGACGTTGGTGTCGCATGCGACACTAACCACATGTCTACCGTTTGTCGTGTCACCTTTCTAACAAACACAACAGAGAAAACAAAATGACAAATTCATTTTTGTCAATTAACCAACATAATTCAATTGAAATAATTAAACTATTGCACAAACCCAAATATAAGTAATATTTCTAATGAACACGACAAAGAAAACAAACAAAATGACATTTTTATCAATTAACCAACAAAATTCGATTGAAATAATTAGACTATTGCAACTGAAATATAGATAACATAATCAATATTACTTTGGGATAGTTGGTTAGTTAGTTAAAGTTACTATTTATCTGATAACGTATTTCTATCTCGTACCGACATTATGACGCGGATGTGCGGATTGCGCGCTGTCGTCATTAATTTAGTCGTTTGCATAATTGACAGGAACACACCACGGTGCAACTACGCATTCGATATGCAACGGATGACGCCGCGCGTAACATCCTAACTGTTATTTTTCACCGACAATCACCGAAATATTATCTATTATACATACAAGTATATAGATTTTATATATTTCATACAAAATTAATCGTCATTCGTGTTCACGACTCAACCCCAACAAATTAATTTATTAATTATATTTGTTTTTGTGTTTATACTTATATCAAACTCGTTGCACTTTGTACGAGCCTATAATCAAATTTTCATTTCTTATATCAAATTGAAAAATAATCACACACATTAATTTAAGATTATTAATTAAATAAACAAAACACACACACACATTGTTTTGTACAAAATTCGTCGCGATTAGAATTTTCTTTCGTGTTAATTTTGCAATCAATCGAGTTTAAACTCTTTTCCGAATAATTCAACGATAATATAATGACTAAATGGAATGCAGTATACATATATCTATACCGACATTATTATAGGACCGAAGCGTTAAACAGGAACCATTAATATTCGTGGTATCGACATAATTCATATACGCCCACGACTATTGTACCTTCCAACTCGGTCTTGGACTTATTAGTAAGTACTCTATTGGGAATAATCAATGTGCATTCATATCTCATAGATATCTTACCTATACAATCATATTTTAAATACCCACTCGATATTAGTAATAAATATATTACTAAACCTGTATTTATATCAGAAAGAAGAAACCTTTAATCCACCTAACATTTCGATCTCGTATTATTTATCTATCGAGGGTCGAGGGGAGAGGGGAGGAAACGGGATAGATAAAATCAAATAGAGTACTTATTAGGGTGAAATCAGAAAATTAGGTTTGTTTCAGATAAATACAATTTTGTTTGGATCAATTCAATAAAATTATTTGATATAGTGAAATATTAATTATGAAAAAAAAGACTTTTGTGGTTCACCCTAATATTACAATTATAGACAAAAAAATATATAAATAATGGTGTTATACTAATTTGATTGGTAAAATCAAACCTGAGGAAATAATCGTTGACGAAGTCAGGGTGCTCGTCCAACCAGGCTTCCATTCGTGCATATTCCGGATCGTATACGGTCGTAGTCGAGGTGTAATAACTTCCCGTTGATTTTCCATCTTGCACCTGTTGCAACATACCCTGACCCGCCGCCATAACGCCCTGCACCCCTTGCACCCCCTGCAGACAAGGAGCTGCCGTCTCCGCCGTCATCCTCGGCTCCTCGATGCTCCGCAAGTGCAGGCCTAAAGGAAACAAACAAATGACTTTAAGTTAACTCGATTTCACATCCATTCTTTCCTTCTTATTTATTTTGTTTATTTTTTTAACGAAGTTTTATCTTTTTTAAAGATTTCAAGAAACGTCAGTCGTTGTAACACGAACAAACCTGGATTAAATTAACCAAATGAAAAATGGGGGTGAGAGAATGTGAGAAAGTAGTTTTATTCTTAATCTTTTCACTTTTTTCTACGTCCCTCCCCTCTCCACCATTCCTTTTTGTTTTTTTTTTTTTTTCCTTTTTTTATTATAATAAGTAACTTTGACGTCTTTTCATATTATGATAGAACCGAACAATGTTTCATTTTCTTAAGAAACACGTTTCGCTATACGAGAGGGGTTTTAATTTAATCTTATCAATTTTAAAGAGATGCCTTATCTATACTAAAGTAATATTTTTTCTCGCGTGTTACTATTAAGATTAATCGAAATAAATGTTCATCATTTAATTATCATAATATATAGAATTGAATATAATCATTATAACATTTTTTATCTATTGTATAAAATAAACTTTCTATTATTTTTCTAAGGATCTATATGCAATGAATAATACTATAATACACCCGACAACGATACTGTGTATCTGTGTGTCAGCATATCTCACGCGATGATCCTAGGAAAAGAAACTTTCTAATTGCTATTATAATTTATAACTTAATATACACAAAGATTTTAATATATTCTTCATAGTTTAACGAACTCACAGAACACACTACACACTCTCTCTCTCTCTTTCTTTTTTTTATCTTTAATTATTAATTCATAGATCGAATGAAATTCTATATATATATATATATATATATATATATTAATTGAATAGGTGTACAAAATCTTGGTATTGCTATAATATTCTTTTTGTTTCTTTTCTTTTCTTTTCTATTAAAATAAAAATGACTTGGAAAAAGTTGGTCCGCTTATGCTGACTCAAATAAATTTGCACTGTCAATGTGTACACATAATAATATATATATATACGTATGTATATTCATTTACATACATAGGCGTACCAAGTTACGGCACGTCTCTAAAACCTCAAGTCTTGTGTAAACGAGATAGGAGGTAAGTTGCACAGAGTTTTGAGTACCCTTTCCTTCAGCACTTGTAGAGAAGAACCTCTTCTGTGTACCGTCTGTCTACGTTATATGGGATCCTCTTTCATCAATTTGCAGAACCATCGCTTCCTACCACGAATTTCATAGATAATGGTACAGCAAGTAGTCTGAACGAATTCGTTGGTTTTTGATTTTCTTTCTTTTCTTTTCTTTTTGTTTTTCTTTTTCTTTCGTATATACGTATACGTTAAAATTTAATATTCGCGTTTCACAACTTTCAATTTCAATTTAATACGAATACATTTTCTAATCATTATTTCTCTATATGATAATTTTTATATTTTTATTAATTTATATAAAAATCAAAATTAATATAAATGTTTTTAATATTATACAAATTTCATGATTGGTTTTCACAATTTGATATTATAATTTTTATTCTAATTTATATTTTATTTTATATATTATTTCGATGCAAATCACCATGATTGGTTTTTATATTTTAAAATTATAATTTTATACCTTTCGTAATACTATTAATTATCAATTTTATCTCTTAAGCAATTTCATTTATTTTCTCTCTCTAAAGTTTTAGTAAATTAGTAATAAATTAAGTTAGAGAAACATCGGTCCATTTGATAACAACTCGTGATAGATTTGAACGAGCTTTAGGAAGGATAGATGTCACGTCGTAGAAACCATCAACTGTCGGTTTTAATTAAATTTTCCAATCAATTAAGGTTACCGTGTAGCTACATAGTCCCAAACTGTTACGAGTAAGTACTTATATAAGTGCATACATACTACCGTACATATGTACACACGTATATATATATATATCCATACACGATTCGAATGTTTTATTCGTAGAAATAGGTGTGACGAAGAAAAAGAGAGAAAGAGAGAAAAAAAAAAAAGGAAAATGCATACTTAAAGTAGTATCTATATAAAGAAATAAATGAATTTATTTTTCCTTGTATTATTCAAAAAATATATTTTGCAATAAACACACTTTAAATTTTACGACAATCTTACATTATATGTTTACAAAGAAAAAAGAAACTAATGACGTTTGCCTGAATACATTATTATAAATTATTTTTGTTATAAAACGTCGATTGATATGAAAAAAATAAAAAGAAAAAAGAAATAGAGAGAGAGAGAGAGACGCGAAAATTGTGATAAAAATAAAATCTTTGGTAGTAACCCGATCGATCGGTTCATTGAACCGTTTTATATAATGCATATTATGGAATATCTATGACCGTGGAAGATGTCTTCAGATATTTTTATCTTCTCTTTTTCCTTGGAACATCCACGATAATAAATTCTATATTCGACAGGATGTCATAGCATTGGTAGGAATCGATCCTGAAAGTACATTCGCCTCACTAGAACGACCAACATAATTTAAAATACATTCCGTTTTAATATATCTCACGTATTTCATTAATATTTGTTTCGAATTATCTTTTATTAAACAAATTCTATAATCATTTTCTATCCTGTAAAAATTATCCAAATTTTATACGAATGAATAAGTGAGAAAGGAGTAAATATTATTTATTATTTATATGTTTTTAATCTTAGTAGATATTATTTATTATTTATTATAAAATAATTTAAGATTACTATATATATATATATATATATATATATAAAAGTGGAATAAAACAAAGTTATTGCATTTGCATAGAAAAAAAATTAAAGGGTGTCCAATATTCGACTCAGTGAAGTAAAGTAATGCGACTGAAATATAATAATTTTATGAACACAATAATAAAAGAGAAAAATAGAAAGAAAAACACCATAGAAAATAGCAGGAAGTTCGGTGAATATACGGGAACGTTAAAAAAAAAATATATATATATATATATATATATAAAATAAAGGAAAATTTTATAAGTATATATTCGCTAGCGTAATAATATATTAATATTAAACATTTATTTATATTTATATTTTGTATTATTCTTTTCGAAGAATAATTGGACAGCCCTGTGATACCATCGTGTGCATTATTATTACGCTTAAAAGATTATGTTCAGGGAAGAGGAAAAATTTTAACAACGACGTAATTTATCGGAAAATGGTTTACACTGTTGAGTTGTCACTGTAGTATGGTAGTAGATCATTTTTACAACCAGACTAATTATCGTGAGCTCTTCGAGGGTGAAAGTAAAGAAGGGAAAGGGATAATAAAAAAAAAAAGGGAAAGAGAAAGGGACTAAAGAATGATAATTGAAATTATTTTCTTATCAAAGTCGATTCATAGTCTCGAAAGTTTAATTAATATACCATGAAGCAAATTAATTAAAAAAAAATAAAATAAAATACAAATGAGAAAGATAAGAAAATCTTCTCTTTATTCGAGTAAATCGAAATATTGTTTAGAAATAGTGACTCACGTTTGCGTATTGATCGTGTGTCTAGCTTTGTTTGATCAGGGAAAGACTAAAGTGTGTGTGTGTGTGTGTGTGTGTGTGTGTATGTGGCATAGTAAATGAATCATTGGATTATAGGGATTTTATGGTGACAGTAAAATCTCTATATAATACAATTTATTCTAATTTGTATTGTCATTCATATGAGAAAAGAATTTCAATTTAAACAAAAAATAATTACATTGAAGATATTATATGGGATTATTATATAGAAAATATATATATTAAATATAATTATATAAAAAGTATATCACATAAGTATCTCGTGAATAATTATTAATTAATAATTATTTTTTCTTTTTTTTTTCTTATTAACAGTAGAAGAAATTAATTGCTACCTGATCGAATTTAAATATCATTCAATTGAAATTTTTCCTACTATTAGTTTATTATTCTCTCATAATTATTAATCGTTCGTGGAAGGAAAAAATGTGAAAAAAAAGTAAAAAAATAGATAAATAAAAGAGAGAGAGAGAAAAAGATAGCAGAGTGGTGATCATAAAACGCACTAATTCATCTGTGAAGAAAACGAGGAATCACATCGTTGATTAACGAATTAGCATGGGGTTTTTATTTTTTTTTTTGTCGAGGAATAAGCCAGAAGCCACGTAGGAAATTTACCGAGTACACCGTGTCGTATTTTTCCATTGATCTTGACTGACATACTCTCTTACTTGCATATACGTTTAAAGCATACCAAAAGGTAAAACGGAAAAAAGACAAAACAAGAAAGTGCAAGAAAGAGAGAGTGAGAGAGAGAGAGAAAGGGGTTAGCTATATAATAATAATCTCAAATGCAAAACGTATGAAAATTATTCTGGCGTGTAGCCAATTTCTTAACGATCGAACGAAGGACGAATTTCTTACTTGCTTGAAAACGCCATGGTAAAAACATTTTTTATTAATGATTCATATAAATTCTTTCGTAATATTCTAAAATTCGACATTTAAAGTTTATTTATTTTCATTGAGATCGTTCAAAAATGAATAACGATTTAAAAATAATATTATATCGTATGTACGTACGTGCGTACACATACGATAAAAATAATTGCGTAATTTGAAAGACAAATATTTGAAATATTTCGAATATTTTATTAAAAGAGGTTCGAATGTTCAACCCTGAATGAAATGTTTGAGGGAGAATCAAACATTTCGGAAAATAATCGTATCGTTTAAATGAAAAAATAAATATATCAAGGAGAAATAAATAATGATGAAATATAGGTAATACTTGTACGTATTTTATTACGTAAATACGTAATTAAATAATCGTGTCGTTTGAATACAAAAAAAAAAAATATATATATATATCAAGGACGAGTAAAGAATGATCGAATGCGTAAGCAACATTGACGAAATTCTTACGCAAGAATCGACATTTGGATAATAATATGTAATCGTATTGTTTAAATAAAATAAAAAAATAAACAAAAATATATATATATATTAAGGACGAGTAAAGAA